TGGTGATAGGGAGACCGCTTTTTTTTCGTACAGTACTCAGATCTTCTGCCGAATCAAAATAATCTGGAGTGCGAAGGACAGATCTGAGAGCGGCGGCCTACGCCGGGGATGAAACGGAAAACGCGACGCAAACGAGCGAAAATTCCGGTCTCGCTGGACTGCCCAGCGCGGCAACTTTGTTTGTGTCGAGATTCCTTTGATTTCCGAGCCGTGTTATTTGATTTCTGGCGAACTGTTTGAGATGAGATGGCCGCAGTTAGTGTTTGACACGGCGGTTCTAAGTGATCCGTCGCTTTGAAGCGGCGTGTGAGAGAAGAAGGAGGGATGGTGGATCTAACGGGGTTCTCCGCGCGCAGGACTTTGATTCTCCGACCGTGATATTGAGTTTGGTCGTCTTTCAAACAGAACTCTCAGGCAGCTAAGGGGCTTACTTCGTCACGGTTTCCGTACTTCCTTTAGGCTTTAGATGTTACGTCCTATAGGGACGCTATGTTTACGTTACAAGGCAATGTTCTACTTTTCGTGAATTATAAAGAAAATGACATAAACGTGACAAAATCGTTGACAGGAAAATAACTTTGTCTAGAAAATATTAGTCTAAAAACAGGATAACTATAGCACACTGACGTGACTGTCCCAGTTAAAAACATGATGTCCGGTATTGTCCCCTGAGTAACAGTGCAATAATAGATAGATTTCTTCGACGAAGTTGAGACCATATATATGCTGGAAAGAGCAGAAATTGCCCAAATAAAGAGATAACATTCCAGGGGAGTTGGTCCGCCAGAGAGTACATTTTGCCGCACCCGAAAAAGCGTAGTCTCTAGCGAACCAACTCCCTCGGGATGTTATCTCCCTCTATTTGGCCAATTTCTACTCTTTTCAGCCGCCTCCCGAAGCCTGGTAGAGGCTAGTGATTTGTTTGATTTGGCAAAGTACTAGTAGCGCGCACGTGAGTTGAGGTGAACGGGGAACGCGTCAGGCACTGAGGGAAATCCTTCACCCACATACCCCCCCCCCCCACGGAGCCGGTATGTATATGTTATACTTGTTATCCCAGAAAAGCCATCCCTGCCGTTACACTTCAAACGCCCTGAAACATGACAAGTATGTCGGAAGGAACCACTTCCAGCGGCCGCTGAGAGATGAGAGTCGTCTGTGCTCACCCACCAAGCCGTCTCCGTCTCGTGAACGGTCGTCGCCGCTATTTTCCGTCTCGTAAACGGTCGATGTCATTTGAAACGGTCGATGCCATTTCGCTGAATGGTCAATGCCATATCCAAGCGTCCAAAAACGACAAAAAATGCTATAAAAACAATATTCTAATTGCAAATATAAGGGAGGGTCATGTAGAATTGTAAATATTAGTGAAAAAAAAAACAAAGAGCACAAGCTCGGATTCGAACCCGGGTCCAAAAGTGTAGCTCCAGAGCCCTAACATATACCCTAACCTCTACGCCACAAAACATCACGATGCGAATGGATTGTGCTGATACACTTAAAGTATTTAGCCATTCTGCGATGTGGCATCGACTGTTTCTAATGGCATCGACCGTTTACGAGACGGAAATTAGCGTCGTGGCCTTTTGGAACGGTCGATGCTGACTACTCTCCAAGCAGAGGTTGTGGGGAATGATCGTTACATTTTTATATATGGCCGTTTTTTTTTGTCCTGACCCCCACCGTCGGTGGCCGCGGAGCTTCTCTGGCTAATGGATACTGCCTGGCCAATTTGATACTGTCTTTTTGCCACCGAGAGGGATCTCTCACTCTCACTCTCTCCCATAGCTTAGTCAGCCGTCGGGGCAGCATGATGTTTGGCCAAGTTCTTCCACTGCTGGCGGTCCTCCGCCAGTCTGGCCATCTGGTTGGCTGTTAGACCAGTCCACTCTTTTAAGTCTGTAATCCATGACCGACGGGGACGTCCCCGCGGCCGTGCGCCTTCCACCTTACCCTGGAGTACTGTATGTGACAGTGTGCCTTTGGCCCTAGACACATGTCCGAACCACGGTAACTTTTTCTTCTTAACTGTGGTCAGGAAGCTGTCGAGTGGGCCTTGCAAGGTGTGGATGCGTTCCATGACTTCTTTGTTTGTAGTGTGTGATGTCCAGTGAACCCGTAGCAGTCTGAGAGGGATCTGCTTGGAGATTAAATGCTGACCTCCATGCAGATCATACGGTGGCAAGGCAGTATATATCTATGGGCCAGAGGAGTGTCCATTAGCCACCGAAGCAACCTACCATACATATACATATGATGTACGGCGGCATTTTTTTTCACGGTAAAAGCTAGGAAACACTTTTATTCATACAGGTTAGGCACATAAGATTTACTCTTTTTGACCCGGGTTCGAATCCGAGCTTGTGTTTTTTTTTTCACAAATATCATCGCTATTTTTCATGATCCTCCCTTACATTTTTGTTATTTGCAATTCGACATGGATAATACAGGACATGGTGGTGAGGTACTCTAGCTGTAGCCTTACATTTGCAATTCGAATGTCACGATTTTTATACGTTTTTGGAATTCAAAAAAGGGCTTTTTATACGCTCGGATATGGCTCTGATATCGACCAGTCATATGGCATATGACATCGAAAGGCGACGACCGTTTACGAGACGGAAATTTTCGCCGCCGCCATGTACGGCCCCCTTACCCGCGTACACTCACCCTAACACCGCTGATCAGCCACGAGCCGTGCGGCTGACGAGTTGAACCAGGAATATAAAAGTTTTTCTTCCAAACCTTCCGATTATCAAATTTCCGTCCTCACAGCACGAACTTGTTGCTCCAAGAGGCTTTGGTTCGATTGTGACTAATATATAAATCCTGTGGAAAACTTGAGGCAATGTTTGTTGAGTTTCATTTGAGCCTTTTCATCCAAGGAAGTTATTTCTCGTCTGTTTTTCTTACCCAGTCGTTGTGAAGATGACATTCCAAGCCGAACGGGTTCTGGTCGTATCGTGCACAGACACGTTTTTCTGGCAGTGCCATCCTGTATACAAGGTGTTGGATATGCTATAGTGTGCCGTGGTTAGTGTCCTTCTTCCTTTGGTCTTTTTCGTTCATATACACATAACGATATGAGTTCAGGCGACTCAGTAGTTCTTGGCTTCCTCGACTTGCCTGTACAGCTCGTTCTCGTCCGGGTTGTCTGGGCATTCCTGCGCGTTGTTGGGCGGTCTGACCTGGTTGTAGCGAGTCCAGTCGCCCTTGCACAGGATCCAGGGCATGATGTCCACCCTGTAGTGCAGTTCCCGCGAGATCTCGGTGCTGATGAGGTTCGGCGTGCCCGCGGCCTTACCCCGGGTGACGAGTCTCATGTCGCCGTCGTAGCAGCAGTGCTGCGCGGCGAGGCTCGTGCTCTCCCGGCTGAGCAAGGACCGTATGCAGTACCGCGCGCCCGGCCTGTACACGTCCAGCCGCTCGCGGGGTCCCGACGCGTCCACCCAGCGCACGATGCGGTTGTGGATCGGGTCCCAGACCTGGTTGTTGTAGGGCAGGTTGACGGGGTAGAAGCAGGGGCAGCTGGGCAGGTCGTCCAGCTTGGAGAGGTAGGCCAGCAGGAACTCCGAGCGGCACTGCATCCACTGCTCACAGCTGTCCACATCTGGAGAGGAAAAGAAGACGTTTTACTGAGAGATGCATCCACTAGTCACAGTTTATAATATCTACGTCTGTATGTACCACACTGTCAAGAACACCTCAAGTGGCGATACATAAATAGCCTCTACTAGGCGTCAGAAGCGACTGGAAAGAGTAGAAACTGGCTAAATAGACAGATAAAGTCTGTCTATTTAGTCTGCTGAATTAAAGGAGTACAGTTCCCGAAGCTCTTAGGAGCGGCCAACTGTACTCCTTTAGCGGTACTAAGGCCCCAAATACATGAAAACCAAATCAAAAGGTTTGGGAGTGCATGTATCTGAAACCCGTTAAAATTCTGTGTCCATTTCTCATACAGCAATAGCTACGACCGTCCATGTGATACCGGCCCCTTTTATCCACCGGTAACAGCTGTCTACATCTGCGATAGGACGTCACACACACACACACGGAGCATCACCCACAAGTGGGAGACGAGCGGTCCATCCCAGCTGTCGACACACGCAAACCAGACAAAACATACGCACTGAGTCCTGAAGAGGCCGGTGAAGTAAGGAAAGACCGGTCAGGCGAAGTTCAAAACGAACAAGCGAAGAGGGTAGGACTTGTGTCTGGTCACCGGTAATTTAAGTAAGCCCAATTTCTTGTGTTGAAAATTACGGTTTAAACCTGCTCCGTAATGGCTTCTACCAACACTACTGTACATACAGATGAACTCTCGAGATAAAACGGAAATCTGTTCTACATCTGCCCGCCGTTGCTTGTGTTGTAAGGTGAGCGGGTGAGCTGACGGCCGCCGCCGTGTTACGACAGGTGCACCCGTGTTGCCGCTCCGTCAGATCCCTCCGGGCCTCCCCCGACCGGCCACGCCCACTGCCCCGCCCACTTCGCACAGGGAAGGCGGTATCGTGTCCACAACCGTGCCCATCTAGCCTCTACCAGGCTGCGGGAGGCCGCTGGAAAGAGTAGAAATTGGCCAAATGGAGAGATAACATGCCAGGGGAGTTGGTCTGCTAGAGAGTACATGACATGTACAGTTTGCCGCACCCGACGCGAGTGTCTATATAGTTCTTCGCCTAAATGGGTGAGAGTTAGGGTCAGGCGCGGTTCTGGGTAGTCTCTATCCTATCCAGAACCGTGCCTATCTAGTTCTGTGCCTGAATGGGTTAGGGTTAGGCTCAGACAGTGTTCTAGATAGTCTCTATCGTATCTAGGACCTTGCCTATCTAACTTTATTCCTGAATTGGTGAGGGTTAGGATCAGGTACGGTTCTAGATAGTATTTACCATATCCAGAATCGTGCCTACCTAGTTTAATCCCCAATACTAGAGTTCCCCGATCTCATACCTTCGCCAAATGATGTTAATCTTTATGACTGACAAATTATACCCCCCCTGATTTAACAAATAGGAACCTAATTTTCATGAATTATATCATTTTATCATAATCTAAACCAAAAGACAGTCTTATATTAACAAGCAATGTATTCTAGTTTTCCTAATAAATTATGCAAATGAGGTCCTGATTTGAATAAATTATGTTTAATGATGTTCACCTCATCTTAACTTACAAATACCACAAGTATGAAATTCCAGGCAGTTATCATTACATAATTATAAAATTTTCTCATTAATTATGCAAATTAAGTCATTATTAACATAATCAATATCTGCCTTTGTTTCTCTCGTTGTCAGTTACCAATGTCACAAGCTTCAATTGTCCTATCATGGAATGCAGCTGATTTATAGAATTTCCCCATAAATTATGCAAATTACATCCATATTTGCATAATTGTCACATCATTATATTAAGCATCACGTAAGCTACCTACATACCAAAAATCATGACGATCCGTCAACCGGTTCTTGAGTTATTCCCTTTTGAATATTTTCAAGAATATATCCCTGCAGTTCCAGAGCAAGCCGCTAGGGGGCCCAAACTCAGGTCACTTCTTCCCCAGCACAAGAGCTACCTACCATCTAAATTTCATCACCATAGCATGTCTAGATCATGAGATATCAAAACCGGAAGTTCAGCTGCAGTACTATAACAAGCCGCTAGGGGGTCCAAAATCTAATCATTTTGAGGTCTCATCAAGACCTACCCACCTACCAAGTATCAAGACAATCCATCAAGGCCTTCTCAAGTTATCGTGTTTACACACACACACACACACACATACACGAACGCCTCTGAAAACATAACCTTCTTGGCGAAGGTAATCAAGCAGATCCTACGGAGCAAGGCTGTAACCACCAACTGGCCAGATCAGTGACCGTTAGCAACGGAAGTGTTTTGGTCACCGTACGATCTGCTTGGAGATTATACCTGAATGGGTTAAGGTTAGGATGAGGCAAGGTTCTGGATAGTCTCCGCGTATCCAAGTAGTAGACTTTCCCCAGGCACGGTTCTGGATACGCGTGGACTATCCCGAGATTCCCGACCGTTTAAAGCACGGTTCAAGATACGACAGAAGGTGTCAGACGAAATTTTGTTTAAGCCCTAGAACTGTTTAATTATTGCACCTTTAAGGAAAAGATAAGCGAGTGAGTGAGTGATTGAGTGAGTGAGTTTTTTCTAGTAAGTAAAATACTCGTACATTGCAGCGTAATGTCTGTCTGCACTCCAGCATAACTATAGTTACAGATGGATGACTGTTCAGGTTTCGTCCGCGTGTTTTCCCAATTAAAGGAAACGTTGCCCGAGCGGTACCCCGCCCCTGTGCGGTAACTTAAGGGCCGTCCAAACGCACCTGTGGTAACAAGGTAAGACAAGGTCGTCACGACAGGCGGCCCCCACGCTACCCGGAGAGACCGGGTACCTGGGAGAAGGCCGGTAAAACGGACATGGATACTGTCTTCGCCGAAAATCATCGGCATATTGACGGCACGTGCCAACTCAGCAAATCACTCCACAGCTCTTAACACGATTATAATGATTATAAATCTTGGCATAATCAATTCAACTGGGAATGATGCAGAATTTTAGACGGCTATCCAGTGATCTTCATCAGTGAAGAAGTGCACCAGTGCAGGCAAGCTGGACCCTCTATGGCCGGCCAACTCCTTTGGTAAATGATGTCCCCCTCAGCCGATTTCTACTATTTATTCATCCTGCAAAGGAGTCTGATGGAGACTAGGAAAGAATTAGAAATGAAGGTTTACGTTCACTTCAGATAGTGTGGAACACGGTTTATAAGCATCACCCTTCAGTTCCGAGACCACGTATGTAACAGTAAAATAATAGACCCGTAGATTTCTCGACAGGTACTGAAATAAAGAGAGTTTATCTACTCTGAAGCGTCAGGATGTACAGAATTGTGACGTTTTCTTTGGGCATTTCAGAACGTTTTGTTCTGGTATTGCCAGTATTTGCAATAGATCAGGTTGAAAGCTGCACTATTCCAACTCCGTCCAACACTGAACAGAGACGGGGGGCGACACAGGTTATCTGACACGTATGACCCGCTACTACGGTCACGTGTCTCTGACGTCACGTTCCAAGAGTAGACGGGTCCATTCCGTGAACAAGGCTGACGGATTGGGTAAGTCCCAATTTACTCAGTGTTGGAAAGAACGTCTAGTCCTTTTTGTCATAATGAAGTTTACCAACACAGATGAACTTTCATGCTATTCCAACCCCTGTCCTCCTCTGACCTCTCATGGCCCAGTGCCACAACATTGACGTCATGAAAAAAACTTTACGCACAGATTTGTCACAGTAAACGCTACTATTGTAACAGTGTCAAACGCTGCTATTGTAACAGTGCCTGGGTTGCGTAGCGGTGACGTATTCTGCGACAGCGTGCGCTACCGTAGGTGTTTGCCACAATCATTACGTGGAGATTGCTGTCACCGAGATGTTGACCCAGGGGTAGTCAACAAGCCCTTAGGACTTCTGTTTTCAACCCATTCCATTTGCTCTGAACTGCATATAACGTTATTACTATTCAATCACTAACAGTTTTATCAACTATCGTTGACTACATCGTCTATAATTTTTTTTTTAATTCCAACATGTAATCACCAGACGCGTACGTGGTGACGACACACTCAAGTTTCTTCAACTTATATTAATGCCGCCACCAACACAGGGGACAAATACATGACAGGACAATACTCATTTACGCCTGAGCTAAGTGAGGCAAGCCGTGTAAAGTGCCTTTACATATTTGTTTTGTACTTTTTGCTCATGAATGTTCCATAGGAGTGGGCCTCTTTAAGCACGTTTGCGTTTTGTCCCATCCTCATTAATTACATAAATTCCAACAAATAAAAAAAAAGTATTTTGTGCTTATTCATATCTGATTAGAGTCTACGTGAAGTTTTATATACGCTCCAAGACATTCGTCATCAACTATTCAAAAATGATATTGTTTTTGTCCCAAAAATAAATCAATATATTGAACAAACACAGGTGACCTGTAGGTCGATATGATATGAGATAATTGATGGTAAAACACACGGGGTCATGTCCCCGCACCATTCAGCCAATACAGTAATAGTGACCACTCAAAGTTTGTCAAAGCCAAATGGTCTCCTAATTAATGTAGCCTCTACCAGGCTTCGGGAGGCGGCTGGAAAGAGTAGAAATTGGCCAAATAGAGAGATAATGTGAGGAGGGAGTGGGTCGGCTAGAGAGTACGTTTTGCCGCACTTGTACTCTCTAGCGGAACAACTCCCCCGACATGTTATCTCTCTATTTGGCCGATTTCTACTCTTTCCAGCCGCCTCCCGAAGCCTGGTAGAGGCTATGATTAATGGTCTGACGCCTTTGCTCGGTCCAGTCTTCCGTACAATGCCGCGTGACGGCTTGGCAGCGGCCAGGCTAGCGGTGACGAGTCCCACCTGCACCTGCGGTTTGTGAGCCACACAAAGCCGTGTGTTTCCCCCTGCACCGAGTCCCTGCGTTCAACAACGTCAATATTAACTCAGGGGGTTACATGAGAAGGGACCGACCGACGCGGTTCGCTACAGCGGTCTGGCGACAGGCAAACATTAATCTCCAAGCAGATCTTTTGGCGGCCAAAAAAGATAGTATCCAACACGCGGACAGTATCCAGCCGGCCGACAGTATCCAACCGTTGGATGGGCCGGCTGTCAGAAAAAAACGGGGCATAGAAAAAGGTCACAATCTTCCCATTCAACCTCTGCTTGGAGAGTAGGCAAACATGCGGTGTGTGAATCAAGAGGTCCCGCGCTCGAGTCCTGACATGTCACCGATCTTGTGCCCTTGGGAAAGGCACTCCACACGACTTTCCTCACTTCGCTCAGGTGAAAATGAGTTGTATTGGTGGCGGCATTAATATAAGTTGAAAAAACTTGAGTGTGCCCTCACCACGTCTTGTGATTAGATGTTGGAATATAAAAAAAAACATGCGGTGGACGAGGCATGCTTTATTTACATCCTGAGCAATATTCCTGTGATCTTTGAGTCCAATGCCATAAAAAAGGGTAGTCCTATATACCCTTTCAGGCCGTAGGGGCAATGGGTTGTTGATTCGTTGTGTCTAGGACACAGTGTTGGAAGGTGGAGCCCATCTCTCTCTTTCCCTGGCCGTTTTTACCTCCCCAATCGAAGTCAGGTACACATTTTATACCTGGGTGGAGTGAGGAAAGTGTGTAAAGTGTCTTTCCCAAGGACACAACGTCTCGCCAGGAATCGAACTCGCGACCTATCAACCTCGTGTCCGCTGGCCTCACCACTCGGACATTCGACGCCTAAAAAGTACGAGATTTACGACAAACTTGGGGCAAGCGCCAGCGAGCTGTAGAAGAAGAAGGTCTCCCGTGCTCTTATGCCGAGCGTAGGGAGGTGCCCATCTCCATTTCGTAGCCTTTGGTCGACACACAGGTGTACAAGGCACTACAGCAGGGGGCTGGTCCGTTGGTAGTGCTGTGTGTTTGACCTTCCCACATTCTTTCTCATATGTGCAGCTGTAGTCATAGTGTTATTTCTTTGTACGGTTTAATTAATAAGGAGAGTCTCGTTTGACCCAGTTCCCATGGCCGTCTGTCTGTCCTCACCTCCCCACGCCACGCCCGACCAAACAGCCCGGCCTTAGTCTCCACCAGACTTCTTTTGCGGGGTGAATAAATCGTAGAAATCGGCCTAAAAAGGGTATTAATTGGCCAGAGAAGGTAGCCGGCAAGAGAAGCTCCATTTCCCCGCCAAGACGGCCTGGATGTCACATTGTGTTTACAGATCCACCGGGAGACCCCACAGCGCTTGGTTGCGCGCGGGCCTGCACGCCGTGTTGTTTATGGCCTAAATGATCTGAGGTGCTAAGCTACTGTCCTTGTTCGGTAGATGAGGGGATTACTTTTATGCCTTTTCATCGTAGCGACATATCACAGACTTCTTGGCGGGGAAATGGAGCTTCTCTTGCCGGCTACCTTTTCTGGCCAATTAATACCCTTTTTAGGCCGATTTCTACGATTTATTCACCCCGCAAAAGAAGTCTGGTGGAGACTAGCCCGGCCTCTCCAGCGGTGGTTTACCGTTCATCCTCACACCGCTGGCGGGATGAAAAGGCGATGGAGTCAAGTTTGCGCAACAAATCCGGACCCCCCGCCCTTGTTTGTGTAGGTTCGCGTCCCCGTGAAGGCGGAAAAGCTTATATCTAAAAACAAACACGGCGAAACTGCCGCAGTGTTACACGCACAACAAGGACCGGCAGGAACTGAGCGAGTTGTTTGTGGCACCACCACGCCCCCGGCACAAGTTACCGAGTCTACAACAGTCCAAGCAGACATTTTGGTGGCCGCAAAACAGTACCAAACTGGCAAGACAGTACCAAACTGGCAAGACAGTACCAAACTGGCAAGACAGTACCAAACTGGCAAGACAGTACCAAACTGGCAAGATAGTACCAAACTGGCAAGGCAGTACCAAACTGGCAAGATAGTACCAAACTGGCAAGATAGTACCAAACTGGCAGGACAGTACCAAACTGGCAAGACAGTACCAAACTGGCAGGACAGTACCAAACTGGCAGGACAGTACCAAACTGGCAGGACAGTACCAAACTGGCAAGACAGTACCAAACTGACAAGACAGTACCAAACTGGCAAGACAGTACCAAACTGGCAGGACAGTACCAAACTGGCAAGACAGTACCAAACTGGCAAGACAGTACCAAACTGGCAAGACAGTACCAAACTGGCAAGGCAGTACCAAACTGGCAAAACAGTATAAAAAGGGATTTTAATTGGCCAGAAAAGATGGGCGAGCTGAGAGGGTAAAATTTGCCAACTCCTCTGGACCTTTTTAGGCCGATTTCTACTATTTATTCAGCCTGCAAAGGAGACTGGTGGAGACTATAGCCTGAATAGATGTTCCGTGGTAGCCTCTACCAGGCACCGCGGATCGCTGAAAAAATAGAAATCGGCCGAAATAAAGGAATAATGTACCAGGGGAGGTAGCCGGCCAGAGAAGATCCAATTCGCGACCCGCCAATTTCTCCAGCGACCCGCGGTGCCTGGTAGAGGCTTTGCCGCTGCCAGTCGCGGGGAGGGGTAACGTCACGCCGCTGCCTCGGGCGTCCTGACCCGCGTCCGGTACGCATTGTCTCTCCGTCTCGTCAGGTGCCGGGGTGGAGAGGTCAGAGACGTCACAATCCGCCGTTCTCCATCAGTGTCGCCCCAGGAATGCCACCAATCCCTCCCGACGAGGTGATGACAACACGGAGATGTTGTGGAACTAACGGGTGGCTGTTGCGATCAAGCGACAAGCGATCCGAACGGGTCGTCGAAGAGAATACAGGCCATTTTCATACTACACATTGACAATACGATTCTATTTCTTTGAATTGAGCGTATATCACTAACATTATCACAAGTCTTACGTAGCCTGGTATCCAGCCTTGTTAGCTTTAGTCCGCTTCCCAAATCCGCTCCCCGTCTTGGGAAGCGGACTAAAGCTAACAAGGCTGGATACCAGGCTAGTCTTACGTCCATGGCTTTGACAACTACATTCTGCTCGAATCTAACGTTGTTATTGGTCTTCGTTGGCTCAGTGTATATATTCTTTTGTTGGGACTACTTGGTGGCTGTTGAAATCATTGCAAACGGTCCTAACAAATCGACAAAGAGAAACTGTCCATCTTTGCTTTCATCCTACACAGACGATTCCATCTCTGAATTTATTTCATATCATACATCCATGATTTTAAACGTGAGTCTCTGCCAGTGCTATTACAGTTTTGCTCCATTGGTCTCCTCGGCTCAGTGTTGCATGCTTTTGTCCAAACTAACACCGTGTTCTCGGACGCCCCGGTTGGCAGCCATTCGGGGGCGTTGTGAACGTCACCTGATCTTAACGAGGCCAAGGCCGACTGTCGGCAGGAATGCGGGTGAGTCGGCGGCGACTGGAGATGTTCTACCGTGGGAGAATGCCATCAAAGCGACACCGGAGGTAACAGGTAAACTCTCGTGACCTTTTTAGGCCGTACGGCAGAGGGCTTTTAATCCACTGTGTCTATGGTACGGTATTGGAAGGCGGAGCCCACCCCTCTCCATTCACCGCCTTTTACCTCCCCAACCGAAGTCAGGTATTTTACGCCTGGGTGGAGTGGGGAAAGTCGTCTTAAATTGGCTTTCCCAAGCTAAGGACAAGCTGGGAATCGAACCTGTTGCCTCTTGGTCCCATGTCCGCTAGCCTGGCCACCCGGTCCTTCGACTTGGCCGGAAGAACAGCCTGTGGGTATCATCCGGATTTCGGTCCGCTACGCTCGAAAAAAAATCACTTTTGAATGATTTTTCAAGTACAGCGGACCAAAATCCTGATGGTACCCAGGCTATAGAGAGGGAACCATGATATAATCAGGCACGCACAGACAGACGGACGGACAGACAGAAGACGGACGGACAGAAGACGAGGCCCAGACGACGTACCTGCCATGTCGAACGGAGAAGTCTCCTGCTCCTGCGCGAGCCGCTCCCCGATCTGCACGGCTTCTGTAGGCTGCAGCTCGCCGCCTGGGGGGGGGGGGGGGCAAACAGACCGCTGATATCAATGATATTGAAGACGAACATTTTATTTTGAATTGTACACTAATAACGATAAACGCACAAAGCTGTTCAACCTTCTCTCCGCCGGCTCAACAGAATTTGTTACATTTCATGATATAGATAAATTTAAGTTCATCCTAGAAGGCAATAACCCTTACTGTGTACAAATAGGTAAATATATCAAAGAATGTTTAGACCTTAGAACAAGTAGTATTAGTTGACCCGTCTATTGTTCTGTACGTAGGATATTTTCGTTGTACCCATGTATATTTGTCTGTATATCTACATGTCTTAGACCATACGAAAGTCGCTGTACTTTTTGTTGTGTCAATGAAGTTCTTCTTCTATCAACAAGTTTCTTGGTTGCGCAAGGGTACTCGTACGAGATTCTTTATTGACACAACAAAAAGTACAGGGACTTTTGTATGGTCTTCTACAACTAAAGATCTAACAAAGCTAAATGCACGTATGGATGACGTCATCCTACGTACAGAATATATGTATGCGGTAACAATAAAGGTTTAACTATTTTCTAACATGTGGTCTCTAAGATCGAAACATTCTTTAATGTACTGTATATAATTAATTTACTTCTCTGGGCAAAACATAACGGAAGGGGGCCAGGGATAAGATTGCAGCAAATGTAGCTATGTAGGAGGGCCAAAAGTGGTTAGGAAAATATGATCTTCATCTCAAGGCCGTCACTTGTTATTTCGTCTCTAATAAGTATCCTCCAGAAGTACGTTAGGCCACACCAAGTAAATTTTATGGATGACGTCCGCGCGCGCATTGATTTTGGCCTCTTCCTAGAAAAAAAACCGTGAGAAATTTCGCTTCCTGTAACTATGACCAAAGAGTCACGACAATGCCGCAAATCGTCGGATTGACGTGAAACCCGTAACGCGAAGAAAGTGTCTATTGACAGGACCATCCTGTCAATAACAGAAAATTTTTCACTGTCCACTGTTCCACCTGATTTATTGCTGTTTTGATGATGAATAAAAGAGTTCTTGCTTGTTACACTGTGTCACCTCATTCAATTTGTGTCCTGACATTTGTCGTCTCTTAGTATATTTCTAATCTAGGCATCTTGTTTTTAGGGCCCTTCTTGTTTTTTTTCGCCCTTTCGCATTAGATGTAGGGTCTCCAAAGGACGTCATCCATAAAATTTACTTGGTGTGGCCTTATGATAACTATTGTTGATGAACTTGGTCATAGAACGGAGGGCCATTTCCTCTCCGGTCGGAATCATGCCAATGATGCCATAGAACGTTATTTGCGCATCCTACAGGACATGCCTTGGTGGATACAGCTTGCAACGCTGCCTCATGTGACGTGACGGACGGTCCGACAAAAATACTCGCCCCGATCATCGCCCTTTGCTGCGGCCCGCTGTCCTGTGTCACACAGTGTGTGTGTTCATCTGTTGGCACCACGGGCGGCCATTTTGAGTTTCAAGGACGTGCCCCCCTGGATAAACCGGGGGCGAAGGCCGGTAATCCGCTCATAAATGTCGGCAGCTTTCTGACATTCCGCCGGTCAGGCCCGAGCCGGATAGCCTCTACCAGGCACCGCGGATCGCTGGAGTAGTATAAATTGGCCGAAATAAAGGGATAGTATACCAGGGGAGTTATCCGGCCAGAGAAGATCCAATTTGCTACCCGTGCAATTTTCCAGCAATCCGCGGTGCCTGGACGAGGCTATGGGCCGGGGACCGGGGACATCAACGGTGCCGTAACACCAGAAGGTTATCCCGCCACTGGTACCAGCGTGGATGAGGGAGAAGCTGCCATTCCTCGCATTGACGTAGGTATCACATGGCACCGGTCCTCAGAAGCCCCTGCCTTGCCCTTTAGGGTACTGAGTAGATACGGGCCTGCGCCAACATGTTCCCAAGGAAATGTTACCACAGACGCCCCTCAGTTAGACCCTGCTGCTCTTGTGTGCTGTCTCTGATCACAGTCTGGGATTCAGGCTACTGGCCGGTGTTCTGGCCCTGACAACAGCCTGGGATCCAAGCTGATACAGAGTCTAAGTACTCTAACTATGGGGCTACCCTATGTTCTATCCCTTACAACAGCCTGGTCTCCAGGCTACTCCTCCATCCTCCGTCCGGCCGTCAGGTCGTTAGGGAGTGATTGATACCGCGGCACGCGCCGGGCTGAGCGCCGGGCCGGGACTAATCCAACCCCGGTGTGCCGATAGCCTCCACCAGGCTTGAGGGCGCGGCTGGAAATAGTAGAAATTGGCCACATAGAGAGATAACACGCCGAGGGAGTTTAGCCATCCAGTTTACAGTTTGCCGGCCCACAAAGAAGATACCGAGCAGTCGTCAGGGCGCTCCGCAGCTCAGCACGGATGTCTTACCAAAGCCTCTACCAGGCTTCAGAGGCTAGCCTGGGTGCCATCCGATTTCTAACGACAACCCCGACATCGGGTGGCACCCAGGCTATTCAGAAGCGGCTGGAAAGAGGAGAAATTGGCCAAATAGACGGATAACATGCCAGGGGAGTTCGTCCGCTGAAGACGACTGTTACAAATATTCATACTTTCCACAAACTATCAGAGATTGGAACATTCTGCCCCAAGAGATATCTGATACCGCGGAACCCACGAAGTTCAACGCTGCAGTACTACAACACCTGAGGACGCAGCAATAGCGCACCGCACAGCTCCCCTGCACGCTTTACCCCAATTTAGGGGTGTTGTGCAGTACCTAAACAAGACAAGACAAGGAGTACAGGGACGGGAGAGCCAAGCTGAACTCCTTTGGTGAACTAACTCCCCTGGCATGTTATCTAGCTATTTGGCCAATTTCTTCTCTTTCCAGTCGCTTTTGAAGCCTAGTAGAGAGGCTAAAGACGAAATACAGCCGTCCAGCACAGAGCAAACCCTGTGACCCCGTTGTTTATTATAGCAGACCTCGATGCCTTTCCCATACCTGGTCCGCGGCATGAGTGCTGAAATGTTGAGAGCGAGCACCCCAGCCTTCCCGGCGAGTGTTGTTGGGATTAAGTTTCTTTAATTATTTGCCTTAGCCTTGTACAACCCCTTGGTGAGTTTAGGAATCCGTTTTCGGTAAGTCGGCAAACACCGAGCCCCGTCCCCCGGCCGTCCCACGCGAACTGACCCATTTTCTTCCCGCCTTGACCCGAAACTCCGCGAACCGACAGACTCCGGAACTTCTGACTCTCGTCAATCTTCGGCTCTTTTACCTACGGAGTAATTAGTAGCTGTGAGCCGTAACAGCGATCGCGGTATTTAAGTAAAGAAAGGGGTCCGACAACCGGTACAAACGTTAGCCAGCGGACGGCACAGTGATCAGTCGAAGGACCAGTGCTCTAGAACACGCTTATTTTGTGAAACAGTGAAAACGACGCAGAGCGCTCCGAATTCCCTGGTGAAATTGCATAACTTTACTGATACTAGTGATAGCAAAAAAGTTGTTGACAGCAGTATTTGCATGTGAGCCGTAACAGCGATTGCAGCATTTAAAGAAAGGAGTCCGACAACCGGTACAAATGTTATATATGCTCGATGCTGCTATAGAGATGACCACACTAGACCACAGCTTGGGCCAGACTGATCTCAGACCACATGTGTACAAGTCCTACCCCCTACACAAATGTTAGACAGCGGACGGCACTATCATGCAGGGCAAGAAAGCATGCTCGACCCGATGTTCTATCGTCATTAGTAGCAGTCCAGAGAACTAATCAAACGGCGATTGAACAAGACAAAGCTTAAAGAAGCATATTGGAAAATAGGCTGCACCAGACAATAACGACCGAAACCATGACAATATCAGCACTTTTACCTACCTACCAACACTTTTAGGACTTCTAAAATTCTACAAGAGAAGCACAGGAAGGACCTCATTCGGTCATTTCTATTCGACCTGATTTGGTATCGTCCAGGTTGTGGGGTTGTTACTTTTAATTCATCTGTGCATGTCTACTTTCGTGGACATCACGATTAAAAAAAATGCGTATGGGCACCCCTATGGTCACTATACTAAGACTTCTAGATGTCTAGAAGACTTCTAGGACTTCTGGAGGACTACTGTGTCAGGATAATAACGCACTATAAACGCTACTACTGACTATAATTACTGGGTCTTACCTGGCGCCTGTGTCGGTAATCCAAGAATATATCCAAGATCATCCTCATAGTCAAGATGATTATCCTCCTCCTCCTCCTCCTGGTCCCCATCATCGGTCTCCTCCTCCTCCTCCTCATCCTCATCCTGCTCTGAACCCTCCCTCCCCGCCCCGTCCCCCTGGCTCCCCTCCATCTCCCATAGACCCTCGATAAACTCCAGGTCCTCCGACATGGACGCGTTACCCGTGATCACCTCGATCGTCACCTCGATGTTCGGGTCCTGGTTGGTCAGGTTCAAGTCCAGGATCTTGTTGACGACCACCTGGCCCTGCGGCGGCGCCCTCTCCGCGTGGCCGCTGCGCGTTTCTCTGGCAACGGGTCCCCCCGAGGATGATGACGCGTCCTGACACGTGCAGCGCCGGGCGCGGTTCGCGTCGTCTGATGAAGCCTCAGACTCGGTCCTGTCTGCCGCCGCTGAGCCGGTGTCTCTCCGGTACAGATCCCCGACGCCAGCCTCCTGTAGGGTAAGGGGGAAGAAGAAGAGTCTCTGTAATTGTCTTTATTGGTTGAGGAAGAGCAGAGAGAGGCACATCAAAGCGCGTGCTGTGGCGTGGTTCTCTTGTTTGGCACCGCGGCAGCCCGCTTCCACCGCGCGGCGATTAGGCGGCACGGCCCCGGGCGGGGAGCGCGCCGGCCGCCGCCACTTCCCATTTCCGGGTCGGCAATCTCAGGGAGCTGGCGGCGGCAAGGGGCTAGTCTTGGTGCCAGACTGTTCTCAGGGCCAGCCCCCCAGTTACACCCTAGCCTGGATGGCAGACGCTTCTCGGGGCCAGCCCTAGCCTCTACCAGGCTTCGGGAGGCGACTGAAAAGAGTAGAAATTG